TTTCTATCAACTGAAGCTTTTCACTGATTGTTGTTTTACAGCTGGAGAAGGGGACAAAAATATTCATATAAATTTATATAGGAAACCTAAGGACCAACAATTAACCATAAAATTTGATTAAGGGTGAGATATATTAGTCTCGAAAACAATATAGGCCTTTAGAAGCTGAATTTTTTTTAGGAAGTTACTGGTAAAATCTATGATAGAGAATGAACTTTGCCGTCGGAATTTCCCGTGTATCATTACACCCTAACCTTTGTGGCTTTTGTCTTTCACCCTGTATACTACATATTATTACGCATTTCTCTGAGTCTCAAATTCTTTACACTAAATCATTGTATTTTATCACTTTCGATCCTTTTCATTAAATCACATAAAATATTGGATCGGGCACGGTATTCTTATTAATTAAAGACAAATGATGGATCATATTCATTGACACTAACGTTGTTTTTTCTGCATATTAACATCAACATGACAAGGAGAGTCCATAAAATGTTGAATGCTCGTGAAAACAGTTCTGTTTTACTGGTAAGTTAACGTTCTTAATCATGTCTAAAAGGTAATAAGGTAGCCGGTGAAAGAAAATAATTTGCGCACATTATGTTTAAATCAAGCGCTGTTTATTTAAATGCACCTGACAGACTGATGCAGCTATCCAATGAGCAATGATATTGTTAATTTAATTGAATTTCTAAAGGTAGTGACGCAGTAGACAGGTATGCTGCTGTTAAATCTTTTAAGTTTAGTTATTTTACTGTTTCATATTTTAAGGCTGTAAGCATGCACCTGTGTTTCTTTCATTGTTTGGTAAGATGCATTTATTAAATTTTTATCTACATTATTTCTCTGTTTTTCCCCTCCAATTTTGGTCGATTGGATTATATTTATATTTTTTTTTTAAATTCTTTGGTCTGGATGAAAGAATTTACCAAAAGGATGAAAGCTTTCTTGACCAACTATGAATCGGAGAGCAAGAAATCGACTAACCATGCAAATCTACTAGCTAAAATGTTTTCTTGGTATTATTGATTTATTCCCACCATTTTAGTTTACCTGTTTAAAAATTAAAGAAATTTTTCCATATAAGGACACGGAAGAAGAAAAAGTTGTGTGATGGTTTGTCAAATTCTGGCTTTGATATACGATGTAGACTCCATGAAAAAGTATGGAAATATATCAGCATATTTTGGGAAATGCCATTTTGGGGAAACCCGGAATTAGGAAAAATTATCAGGTAGTTGATGAAATTGGTAAAATTTTGAAAATTTTACTTACATAATGTATTCAGGTGTAAATCGCTTAACATTTCAGCACAAACTCTTACCGGGGTACTTGGGGAACCAAACAGACAATTAGACATGTTAAATATTATCCAACTTCATCATGAATAAAAAATTGATAGTGAATAATATAGGCTAATAAAAGTAAATTTGACTTCTGGATCAGGAGTTGTGGTTTTAGAATTTAATTAGATATTGGATCACACCATATCCTTTCGTAGCATGGCATGTGATGGTTGTTTACTTGCGCTTTTCATTTCTGATAGTAAAGAGTCAAAATATATCCCTAACGCACACAATTGTCATTTACTAAAAACAGTTGCTGATTGGTCAATTAATGTCGATCCACTCCAATCACTACTTGAGAAAAAAATCCCAACTTTTTTTTTAACACTGTAGCTATGCCATGAGTTGATGAGGAGAGTAGCATATCAGAAACCCTTGGCTAGCGAAGATGGATTATGCTGAACAAGGATGGTTCAAAATGGCAAAATTTATTATCCCAAATTCAGAGGTTCTGATATTAGTGTTGCTCTATAATTGATACTGTACTGAAATGCATTAGTAGTATTAGAAAAATCTTCTCTACTCCTGGGTATTTAGCAGATGATTGTGCTTAAGTGATATGCAGTTGTTCTTTTACTAAAATTGGAAATTTCAAAGCTGGTTGGTATAATGTAATGTAATGAGAATGTATAAATTCTTATCTTTCCTTGGGCATCTAAAAGTTGTGCTTGGAAGGGGTGTTTATTTGCTAGCAGATTTTTGAAATTATGGATCTCTGTGTCTAGTGTTCCGGTGTTTGGCCAGGGCTCTAATGATATGGTATCCTAATGAGAGAAGTTGTTCCCCTTGTTATTTACCTTTGATAATCAATTACTGTAGGTAATGCAATTGATAGATCAAATTGAATATAAGAAGTAAATATTTTTTGAAGTTTATTATACAAAAAGTAATTGTGATAGTTTTTTAATGGTAAGCTATTAAGGAAGACTTGTAGATAATAAATAAATAAATGATAAAAATGAGACAAAAATACCTTATCTTTGTACAATATCTACTTTTCAAAAAAGTACTTATACTAAATAGATAAAGTAGTAGACCAACTATTTTGTTGGTCCTTAATTATAATTCTATTCTCTTTGCTTTGGACTGACACTCCTTTATCCATCAGTTTATTTTACGTTTTATTTTGTACTTCATTGGATCAAAAATACAGTATTGTATTATTAGTTATACTCATGAATCATGGGTCTTTTTTATTGCACATTTAGATTTGTAAAAAGAGGAAGAAAAAAATTATTCATTGATATTATTTATTGTCTTGTGGGCACTGAGGCATGGGTTAGCATTACCTTCATAGTCATAAATTAGTGCCAATCAATCTTCTATGATTGGTTTTATTATTTCAGTAGCCTTGGCATGAGTGTCAGTGTCTTGGTTAAAGTTTAAGAAGCAGGTCCATTCCAAAGTAAATATAAGCCTTACTTGTATGAAACTTACATGTATGATGGCATCATGCATCTAGGGATGACACCTAGGGATGAAAACTGCCAGACTTGCTTCAGACCTTACCTTTTACAAACAAAACTTATGAAGCATTTAAATTTTAAATAACATATCTTTTACATCAAAAATTTTAGACTTAATTGACATGGAAGAAGATATAGAAGATTATCCTAACATTGAAGTGGACCCACAATATGTCACTGTGACTAGCGTGGCGTCATATGTCAGCACAGATTCCACAGATGACCTTGACTGGTTACAAACCTCCAAACTTACAGGGGGGATAATCAAGTTCCTGTTTGATGGATCTACAGAGGAAAAGGTCAGTATGTCAAAATAGCAGAAACATAACAAGAGAGGGTTGTTTTAGTCACTTAGGTAAGCTTTATAAATTGTGTGTCTGAAAAAAAGTATGTTAAGGATGTGTAAACCATGTTATACAATGGGACAAATGTCAGTAATAGTTTATTGCTCTCTTGATTTTTATTCTGTGCTATGTATGTTTACTGTTAAATGAAACAACACTTAATAATTTCATAGGGAACATGATAAAGTTTACATGTTCCAGTACACATTGAAGTATACCTAACATAAGAACTTGTAGGAAATTGGCAAACAATGCATTATCCTAATTTCAGAATAATTTATCTAAAGATTTTCCTTGGGCTTAAAATGAGCCTTTCAACTTATTTAAGACGTCAAAATATATTTCAAAGGATTATCCCCAATTTATTTTTGAAGAAAAATATTTATTTCGATCAACACTTTATTTTCAAAACTTCTGATTATATGTTAACATGAAATAACACTTTATTTTCAAAACTTCTAATCTTGTACATATATAAAAATGAGCAAACAGTCTATGTTATTTTGTCAAGACCAGCTGAGTACATCTAGGAAATGAAATATACTGAAAGGAAAAAGAAACGCAGGGTAGCATAATATTCAATAACAATTTGACTGCATGACCAAAAATTACGAAAATTTGTCAGAAGAGAAATTTAGTTACTATGCACCAAAATCAGTGTTCAGAATTACTCAATCGTAAAATGTATGACATCACATAGGGAAAGTGCTAAAAAGCCAAAAACACGTGCAATTTGATGACGACGAGTTTGTCGACAAATCTTGTTGCATTATTTGATGCACCTGAGGTATGCACATGGTTTTTCAATATTTAGAGACAACATGAATTTCTTCCAATCTTGGTATGGTTAACAGAAGTTCAATGGGGTCTTCTTTTCGAATTGCCTAATAAATGAAAAAGGCAACAACGGTTGACTAAGCAGTATCTTGTAAATTTTCCCTCATAAAACTTGTTACCCGTTGTCAGAGAGGGCATGGAATGGTTTTCAATCAACCGTGATGATGACGTTAACGCGAAACAGAGCCATATTACGAGCGTGTACTACCAAAAAAACTGCGATTTATACAGTAGACTATTATGATCATTACATTCACATGAAAATTGAAAGAAAACAATTCCGCAATTTGGTTTTTTGAGCCGGTCAACTTACTGTTGAATTCCTCTCACTGGCGCATGCGCGTGTCGTTTGACCTATTTTACTGCGTGGTTACCCTTGCTCAATATAGCCAGGGTTTGAAAGATTAACACTCTGATAAAATTCCATGCAAATGAGGAAAACGGCTCTGACAGATGCACGAGGGCGACCTTGAAGATAATGAGAGTTTTCGGTTTTCACTTTTGGAGGTATCGTCATATGAGCTTCCATAACTCATGAATTATTGGACAAAATCAAATGGGATTTTGGTTATATCTTTTTGAAAGATTATTTTAAAAGTTAGATAGGAACGCTAAAACATACTGTAGTAAAAATAAATTTAATTCACCTCAAAAGTTTACCCTGCGTTTCTTTTTCCTTTCAGTATAGAAAATATTGATATATTAAAATGTCCAAAAAATACCGTGTAAGGGATGAAATTTGCATAAAACTAAAACTTTTTTTTATCATTTATTTAGGGAAAGGTTTATTTCAACTCAAATTAAAGATACAATTGAATGTGTCTATTAATCTTCTGTATAAATTGTAGAGTCACACAGGTTACTATGTTTGTGTGGGGGAGGACGCTACTGTGGACAATGTGGCTAAATACATCACCAAAGTGTGGAAGAAGAGGAGCCCAGACATCATTCTCTCTGTTATATCCAGTCTCAGTCATTTCAGGAAGTGGAAGAATCAGCAGGAAGTGGAAGATTTCCAGGCGGGTTTGATTCAGGTCAGAAGGGCAAAGGTTAAAGGTTAAAAAAAATGAAGTAGACATTGTATAAAATTGCTTGAATTGAACTCTTCTGAGAATCCTTATCATTTCATCTAGCTATTAATCACCAATACTTGTCTATCACTTACATATTATTCCCATTTTTAGCCATATTTCTGATATGCTCATAATTATCAATATTTTTGGATATTTTTACTGCGCAAATATAGGAACGTCAATGTAAAATGTGTATATATGCATATTAACAGTGAACTAAATTGGATTTGGAATTTTCACATTATGAAACAGATTTATTTAAGAAAAATTGTACTGAGGTTGAAAATTGACAATGGTTTGATCATAGATTTAATTTTTTTTCTTCATTTTTTTTTTTGCGCTGCAGGCTATGAACTCTACCAATATGTGGGTGTTGACAAATGGTTTAGATGGAGGAATCGCTAAAATAGTTGGGGATGCCGTTCGTTTTGAGAGAGAGAGGCGATCTATTCTGATGACACGAGCTCAGAACCCCTATGTAAAGCTTCACAAGAAAGAGGATGTAGAGGAACTGCCTAAACTGACCGTGATGGGAATCGTTCCTAAACTACAGCTCCAGTGTGCGGCCAGGACTGAGGGATTGGTACGTGGTCATGTCTGAATTTACACTGTATTTAGATAATTAGCTCATGGGGCCTTTAAAGATGTTTAAAGATATTTATTGAAAAGTAGGTCATAGTGACCTACATTTTGAAATTTGCAGCCATTCATATTCAAATTGTTTCAGAGGCAAATTTTGGAGTGTGTTATGACTTTACATCTTAAAAAACATATACATGTATATACATGTGATTACATGTATATTGGCTTATATGTGTAATACAGTAATTATTAAAGACAATAGGGAACAATTATTAAGACCAGCAATGCAGAAAATCCTGTATATGAATTTCTCTTTCACCTGTAAACGGAACTTATTGTATTTCTTTTATTTGCAAATTGCAGCATGATTCCATTATTTCACTGAAAAAAACGGGGACTAAGGAAGCTATGGAGTTGAATGGAGAACACTCTCATTTTATCATAATGGACCAGAACACTGATCTAAGGGAGCTGGAAGGCTTTAGACTCAGAATTGAGGAGAGACTTCTGACCCCTATAGGGAAGGGCAAGAGATACAGAAAAGTCAAAATGTTTGACCCCTCCCTTGGTAGGTTGCATATTTTAACTCTCCTGAGCTAAAAGCTCAAGTGAGTTTTTCTGTTCACCTGTTGTCGGTCTGTCCATATGTCTGAAAACTTTTTTCACATTTTCAACTTCTTTTCGAGAACCACTGGGCCAATTTTAACCAAAAGTGGTACAAAGCATTTTTAGGGAGTTTAAATTGTTAAAATGAAGGGCCAAGTCCTCTTACAAAATGAGATAATCAAAAAAAGGACAAAAATAGGGTAAACTCTTAAAAAAATCTTCTCAAAAAACCACTGGGCCAGAAAAGCTGAAACTTTCATGGAAGCATCCTGGGGTAGTGAAAAATCATATTCAAATCAGGACCCCTGAGGATGGGTGGGGCCACAATAGGGATCCCAAGTTTTACATTAATTGAAATATTTAAAAAAAAATCTTCAATAATCTTCTCCTTAAGATTGGAGAACTACTGAAAAGCTGAAACTTTGTAAAACCACAGTAAGTACATGTATTACAAGGAGAAAAATCTAGAGAAGAACAATGGATCCAAAGTTACTTGGGTGAGCATTTTGGCCCATGGGCCTCTTGATTTTTTCTTTGTTTCAAATAGACTAATCTTTATTTGATGTAGAATATGTCTCACATATATAAAAAGGTTAAATTTTCTTAAGGAAAAAAGATCAAATATGAATTATAATATGTATTATTTATTCACATTTTCTGTACACTAATATAATATTTTTATGTACAGATGCAGGATCCATCCCAGAAAATTTAAACATGATTACCAGCACCAGTACCCCCATGGTCGGCCTCCTGATACAGGGTGGACCATTAGATATTGACCATGTGGTGGACCTTCTACGGAGAAAAGTTCCTGTCCTAGTTCTACAGGGGACTGGACTGGGAGCCGATCTTATAGCGTTTGTGTACTTTGAAAAAGTTCATCAGTAAGTACATGTATAGCTCTTATGTGTATAAATAAAAGAAATAAATCTACCTTTGCATTCTCACAATGTTTGGTAATCTAGATGTCTATAAAAATCTAGAACCTAAGATCCAAACCCTGTTGAATAAATTTTAGATATCTCTTCTACATTTGATGGTCTTTAGTCTTGACTATGCTTTGTATATACTGTAAATCACTTCTTATTCGCGAGAACTTTATTTTCGAGTGATTACGCGAGACGGTATGCTCGTGAAAATTTCATAATCGCGTATAATAGAATTCCTTTAGATTATATAAAGCAATGAAACAATTCGTGAAAATTTTGTCTCGCTAATAAAGAGTCAATGACTATCTCGCGAAAATAAGATGTCGCGAAACTTAAGTGATCTACAGTAAACATGAGGAATTTGTTAAACTAAATAGATGTTTGTTTCCTGTAACTTGTACATGTTATATTTAATTTCTTTTATAGCCAGGGTGATGAATACGAGTCTTTTGTGAAAACTGAGTTAATTAAGAGAATGATGAACTGTTATCCAAAGGATTTTGTGGACAATGAGCTGGCCCGGAATCAGTGTAGAGACAAAATACTGGAGTGTGTTAATCTTGCCCACCAGGTTTGCTTCTAACTTGTTTGAAATGGAAATACATGTATATGATACATTTTCAATGTTTTGCAAAATAGTATATTTTTTTAATCTTGTAGGAGAATGGGAGGTTTCTAACTATTTTGGACATAAATGCGGATCCCACTGGACTTAAGAACTTGGACAAATACATCTTACTCACTTTGTTTGAATGTAAGTTTTCATTTCCTCCCGTAACAGCTGATCCGAATAACACCAGAGGTGTTTTCAACAGAGTGAACGTTCACAAGCGCTCGCCAAAATTTCTTATACAGTCAATTCTCGAATTATAGCCATTCGATTCATCACCATTTATGCAATACCGCCATGATTTCCCAAGAACGTTTTTCCTGCTATATAAAATTCTCTTTATAACGCCAAATTCGCATATCGCCATCCGCCACCCTGTTTTCACAACAAACGTCAATTTAAGTGTCAATTATCTCGATTATACCGCCACAGGTGCATGTGGTCAGTGAAGCGCGGCTAATTAGTTGACGCTTTCCCTGTTGTAAAGCATGCAAAGCCAGTCGAGGTACACGCAATTAAGTAAACAATAATTTTAACATGAACTGTTAGAATAATTTTGTTTTATGTTTAATAAATTCATTAAGTCAAGGCTTTGCCACGAAAGCTGTCTTTTTAAAGTACGCCGATAACGATCTCTGCTTTTTAAAGTAATGCAAAGTTTGCTTAAAAAATAATTATAAGTCAGAAATTATGAACGTTTCATTAACAATGATTTCATAAACAATGAATTTATTTATTTATCTAATCTAATCTAATGAATTTATTTAAAAACTTATTTTACGTACTATCGGCAATATATCACGACGATCGACCCAGCGTGTTTTTTTTTAATATCAGACGTGCAAATTTATGATTTATATGCATACACATGTACTTGTTTTAATTTCATAACTGAATATTTTGTTTTAGCGAAATTGTACATAAAAAAAAATTACTTGAAGTATTTCCAAATTTAGAAATATGTTTATATATACATGTACATGTGATAATAAGAATAGAAACGCTAAATGGTATTTCTAAGAACGATAACTCTAGGTCTTATTTCATAAAAGATTGAAAATTCAATTCATCGCCAAATTCGTTATACCGCCATGATTTCTAAATTACAAAAGGTGGCGGTTTATCGAGAATTAACTGTACCTCCAACAGAAATGTTCACGAGTGCTTGCTCTGTTGAACAGGCCTCTGGTGATAACATGATTATAGGCAAGGACATTCTCCATCCACCGGGTTTAAGAGATACATGTAACCCTGTTGAATGAGTATTCTGAATCTCTTGCTCATAAATCAGCTGTTTTTATTATTTCAGCTCAAGGGTCCAAAACAGGAAGTCAGTTCCAGGAACAATTCCAGTCTGACCTCAAGTTGACCTTACACTGGAATAGACCTGATCTAGCAGAATCACAGATTTTTGAGAAATATGATTGGACAACTGTTAAGGTATTGCCAAAAAAAAAAATATAAAATACTATTAACATTTTAAAGCATATCCTTAGACTAAAAAGTTAAAATCCAAGACATCCAGGTGCTTCTTGTATTAACATTAAATAAGTGTAATATTTTTGCATGTAACCTGTATCCTGTCATCAGTCTATTTCCATGCAGATCCTCAGTCTGTTATGGTATTTTTAGGTCACCTGAGTAAACTCAGGTGACCTATTGCTATCTGTTTTTGTCCATCATCGTTCGTCGTGCGTTGTCCGTCATTTGAACATTTTCAGCTTCTTCTCTGCAACCACTGAACCAATTTCAACCAAATTTGGCACAAAGCATCTATGGGTGAAGGGGAACAAAAATTGTGAATTTCATGGTCCCTGCCCCCCTGGGGCCTGGGGGGTGGGGCAAAAACCACTAAAATTAATGCAATCTTTAAAAATCTTCTTCTCTACTCCTGGACATCAAGCAGTCAAACTGTTTGCATGATTATAATCAGCATTGAGTCCTCTACCAAAATTTTGAAATTCATGGCCCTGGGGTCAGGGATTCTATTGCTAGGGTTGGGCTAAATGAGTATATAGTGAAAATGCATTATTTCTTTGAAACTCTTCTTCTCTGCTCCTGGGTATTGAATAAACTA